CGTGCGCAACCTCGCAAAAGAAGACCTGAGTGATGGAGAGAAGTGACATATATATATATACACATACAGAGTACAACATATTTTTTGTGTTTGTTAATGCGGAAGTGGGTCGCTCCTGCAGTCCCCCACGGTGAAGTCCTGCTTTCCCCGCGGTGTCCCTCTCCGCAGCTGCCGCAGAGACCTCAGCGAATGTAGTTCAGGCATGTGGTGATCATGAGATTTTCAAGTCCTTGCAGGGACAGCCCAGATGGTGGGAGTAGCAAAAGGCAAGGATTGCCTTTGTGGTGACGCATGAAAGTGCGAAGTGGGGGTGTTTAAACGTGATTTGTTGGGTGACTTGATTCGTTTGATATCAATAACGATGCCGGAATTGTTTTCTGCTGTTCAGGTCTGCGAAGCAGTTGTTTCAACAAGCGTGGAAAGCGACAAAGCTCCTGCCTCAAGACACTGTGAGTAAGTAGGCTTCCTGCAGCGATATACTTGCCCATGTTGCTAGAGTCTGCTAGAGAGACACTAGGGTTTTGGGAGGCGGCTTGGCAAAGGGCACAAAGAAAAGCACGAAGGGCACAACTAAAACGGTGCAGCTCTCAGTAGCGACCTGTGGGACTGCTTCAGCGGGTTCCGCTGCAAGCTCAGGATTGCATAGGACAGCGCAACCGGTGCGGTTCTTGGGGACCAGCAAATTCCCTAGTAGCGTCCTTGCTCCCAGTAGTAAGGCTAGTAGCTTCTTGTTCCTAGTAGTAAGGCCAGGAGCCCTAGTAGCGTCCTTGCTCCTAGCAGCAAATTCCACCAGAGAATTCGGTTTTGCTGGGCTGAGGCCAAGACTGGTCCTTCTGAGAAGGATTCAGCTGTAAGTTTTAGATTTGGAGAAAGAAATCAGCCAAACGCTTGCTGGTAGATTTTGCAGGACATTTAGTGAGTAGCGCATGGTGGCATTGCATTATTGCATGAGGTTTTTTTCCACTGCCACGCTGGGCTCAAGTATCACTCCAATCATGAAAGTGGGCCGTTTGAAGAACCAATTGGAGAACGGGAGGCGGCTACGCTGGAGTGAAGATAGGCTGTTTGCAACAGTTGGGCCTACAAGGAAAGATATTCACAGCCGTTCACAGTGGAACGAGGCCCCATTCAGGCTTCCAATACAAAGGACAACTTTCTTACCTGTCACCTCGTGATTGCAGCAAAGCACTTGCGGCTTTCGATTTCCAACGCGTGAAGCAAAAGAAGGATGAATGCCCAACGGAGTACCCAGCTTACTGTGCAGGTAATAATCAGCAGGTGAGAGAAACATTTCCAGTGACATTTGAAGCGCTCAATCAACAAATCACAACTGATGGTATGGTTGAAGAAACCCGGCAGAAAATCCACGCCGCAAACGTATCAATCAGGAACGGTCAGGGAGTGTATGATTCAAACGAGCATTGGAGCTCTACGAACCAAAATTTGTTCCATGATGTGTGGAGTTTCCATTAACTGAAAGAGATTCAATCCGTCGGTCTCTAGGTTACTGCCATGTACCTTATTTCTCTTTTGTCCGATTTGTCCATTGGCTTTGATCTCTGATTCGATCATTGCGGTGCAATGGCAAACTGGCGAAGCCGAACCAAGAGCTGAGAGAAATCCAGTGACGGCAAACACTTGCGTCCGCAACAGGTCTCTATTGTGTAGAAATGTGCAGAACATATATAGAACAAGAGGCCCAAATGGCCTGCATATCATTTAATATGTAGAGTCGTAGAGCTTACCGTCATCATGAATCCCCCTTGATCGATCACTTCGGCTTGGTGCTGAGCCACGTTTCACCAATAAGAAACCAATCAAAGCACCGTGAGCCACGTGTCACCTAGCAAACTCAAGTCCACAATAAGAGGACGTTCCACCCCCTGAACCCCTGTGCCTGAATATATAAGACAGTTTGATGTCCTTTAGTTCTATAGGGGCCATGCAACCCGGAACGGAAGCGGACGAAAGGATTCATGTCGCGGAGTGGCCCCCGCAGGCCAGAGCATGATAAAGGCCAGCCCTGAGAACTGCTGAGACTATGGGTGAGTGCCATGACTGCGATCCATGATGCCTTTGTGCTGAACTTTTCACATTTGCAAGGATCAGGTTCAATTGCATCCAGAGCCCACAATATGCTCGGCCGACCACCTTGAGGCCTGACAAAAGCGCATATAATATAGACTATAGACTCTATGATGAGATGATCATTTGCTGAGGAGCTGGTGCTTTGGGCAACCAGAGCGAAAGGCACGAATGACTTGATTTCACTTTACGAGGGGTCGTGCCAAATCTCGAGGAACTCGTTGAGTTTATGCAACAGAGTGAATTCGCACTGCCGTGAACACTCCGTGCAGATGCTGATGGTTTAGTCTGTGCCTGATTTGATGAACTTGGATTTGTTGAGACTGAATCGTGCTCAGGAGTTCAAAACCAGACTTGTAGTTGCGTTAAGGACCATGGCTACTGGCAAACTTGGGGACCACCTTGCGATGTACAAGAGTTGGTGAACTGGGAGCGGCTTGCTGAATGCTATCTCTGTATGTGAGCATTGATTCATATTGATTCAGAGTTTCAAGACGTTTCAAGAACTTGCGTTGGACCTGGGGTTTCTCAACCAGTCCTCGTTCCTCTTGCAGCCATTTGGGCCAGGAAGGTGATGCTCCTTGTCACCCCACGGCCATGGAGGGCCTTGATCCGGTGGTAGCGAATCGAGTGAATGCCGTGGAGGCAGAGATTCAGCAGCTAAAGCTGCAGCAAATGCAGGATGCGCAGCAGGCGCAGCTGCTACAAATGCAGCAGCAAAGTTCCCTGGCAACCATTGCTGTTTTGCAGGATCCTTGGGGGTTTGTACCGTGTACCATGTCCAAAGTTCAAGAGCAGTCAGTCATTGCTCTTGAATAGGCAGAATTGCAAGGGCAATGCCCAGATCTTTTTTCTGTACTGAGTAAGACATTGTCTGACATGGTTAGAGGTACCACATCTCTTAGCCGCATTTCACACATGCCCCCGGAAAGGTTGAGAAAGTCGGTAGAACTGGTGTCGGTGCGGATTCGCGCCGCCTGCAGCTAGGCTTCAGCACCCCACGGCTGCCTCCAATTGGTCCCACGGGCCCAGCTCCGAGCCCAACACGGGCTTTGACGAGCCCTGCGGAAGGGCGAGCCGCTGGAGCAGCATCTGAGGCTCCGAATCTGGCGCACTTAGAACTCATGGCTGCGCATAAGGAGCTGCTCAAGATGCTGCAAAGTCAAGTAAAAAGCAATGAAGAAATGGAGAAGTCCCGGGCCAAACAGGTCTCAGAGCTTCTCAAAGCACATCAGGAAGCGATGCAAGCGAGAGACAAGCCGGAGAAGCCGTCTCGCAAGGTTGTTTCCAACGATTCGTCCATTTCTCCACCGAAGAATCTCACAATCCTAGACAACACTCTGCTTTTCTTGCCGGAGAATGCCGTCAGAGAGCTAAGCCTTGAGCCCAACATGAACGACAAAGGAGATGAGGAGAAGTACATGTGGGTCGGCCGAGTATGGGAGTTGCGAACTCTTTTGATGCGCTTCAGCCAGGAGAAGGTTGATACGATCTCGAAGGATTCTGAGAATATCTCTGAATTCCGTAAGCGAGAACTCAAGACCCAGATGAAGGACCCAGAGATTCGTGCAAAGTTAAAGCGCTTTGCTGCTCGATGGCGTGGTTCAGCCCAACGACTGCGTTGTAGCTTTTCGGTCTTGGAGAGGTTGAAATATTCACATCTTCGAGGAACGCTGATTTACGCCCATGGCTCTGGTGGTTGCAGCTGGGACAACTATCGCATATGTCGTATGATTGCTGCCATGGGGATTTTAGTCATCGCTCCAGATGGCTTTGCATATCCCAAAGAGACTGCTATGGGTCAGATGAGACACAAGAGCCTTATGCCATTGCACAAGTCAACCAGTGATGTTGACTACTGGGCCAATGATTTGCTGTACACATCTTCAGCCTGGGGAACCTTCAACTACTCAAGCAAGGCAGATAGCGAGCCTTCTCCTAAAGATAAAGTCGCTTTCAGTTTTTCATCTATTCAATCTATTCTGTTTCTAGTGTGAGGTACTGTATGCCTGTCCGTCAAGAAGTTATGTCGATGCACGCAGTCACGCCCGCTTTGAGGTGTTGAAAGATCCTCAGGAGTACAAGGATATCTACGAGAAGTGTTATCAGCTCCGCCGATCAGAACTTCATTTCATCATCGCTCGGTTGCCAAAGTGGGTATTGGCTCAAGGCTTCTTTCTTGGGGGCACTTCTGAAGGTGCCATGACAGTGACCAGATTTGATGATCAGAGATACGGTGATTTGATTATCGGCCGTTTCATCAACTCCTTCAGCATGGAGTATTGCTATTTCACTCCGGAGCCCGAAGCGGCCCTCTTGGGTGGACGATTGGATATCCCAACTCTGAACATCATCGGCACCAAGGACCAATACTTTGGTCCGGTGGACAGTGTGGCCAAGATCGTGGCCGACAATGGTGGCTGTGGCGATCGCTTCTTGACGGGCAATGGCTTCAAGACCATGGTACGCCAAGGCGTTGATCTGGGTCTCGTCTGCGTTTTGGAGCCACTTGACGTGAGATGAACAAAAATATGTATATATATATATATATGTGCCCACTTGATGTTTGCTTTTTTGGATGCTTCTGGAGGAACCTTGAAACCTTGTAAGGGAAGTAACTTGGAGTATGCCAGAAGGATCACAAACAGGGAGCGAACACAATTCCCCAAACTATGACACTTTTAAACACGCTTTTGTATTTTTTTCTATTTGTATTTCTTTAGGGGGTTCGGTTCGGTGGCGCTTTTTGCACCATTTTGCAATCCTGAGGGGAGGAGTCCATTCCCCTTGCAACACGCATGATAACTTCCTGCGGCCTCTATTCAATGCATTTTTCTCAAGGACCAACCTGCGTTCCCATTTTGCCAGTGCATATAGTAAGTTCCTTTTCTACAACACATTGAAATCACGATATGTCAGCATCATCACATCCGTGCAGACGACTTCTTTTGAAAAAGGCCTGATGTGGATAGATATACTGTAGCTTGTTGTCTTATGGATTGCCCGTGAATCCAAATCCAGGACAGGCTCTATTTGGGAGCTGCACAGGTTCCTGGGCATGTCAGATCGCACTCTTGCAGTCAAGCTTTTGACACATGTTTTTGACCCATACCAAACTCAGGATTTGGCAGGCTGATTCGACATTGAGGTCGCTTGTCCAGCTTGCAGCAGTCTCAGAATAGAACAAGCTTCCATAAGTGTCCATCTCATTTTTGGCTGTTTGGTGGATCAACGGCAGCTGCTCTTTCTTGCATTTGCAAGGTCGAAACCACCGCCAGTGAGGAAGCCAAAGGGAAGCGCGTGACACTGTTGATGGTTCCGAACATGAAGTTCCCGAACCATATGACCCTCAAAGAGATTGAGGTTCTTCGAACTCATGAGGTTGCTGCCGAGAGATTAAAGGAACAGGCCATCATGCAGGCTCAGGAGGGTGAGATCAAAGAGCTCTTACAAAGAACCCGGGCTGAAGCGGCCAAGTTGTCCTCTCGGACCACCTCCAGTCACAATTACTATGCCAGGGACAAGCTGGCCATCAAATGTGACTGGAGTGAGTGGCTGCGGAAGCATTCCAATAGTTGAGAATTCTGAGGTAGCGTAAAGTGGCCCAACTGGGACGCTGATTTGTTGAGATGCTGTGCTCACGGTGATCTGTGCAAAGATCTCAGATTGTTTCACGAAATTCTCCAAGGCGCTGAAGCCCTCAGGGAAGCAGTCACTTCAGCCCCGATAAATGGAAGCAGAGATCGGGTCACTTTCTCTTCTACATGAGAACAGTTTGTTACACAGGGTGTTCAGTTGAACCATCAATGTTCGTTAGTCAAGAAGTATGTAATGTAATGTAATGTAATGTAATGCAATGTAATGCAATGTAATGTAATGTAATGTAATGTATATAGTGTAGTGTAGTGTAATGGAATGTAATGACATTTTTCGACATTTCCAGACGCCAGTCGTCTCTGACTGTTGCTTCTGTCATCCAGTGATCTTTGGCTCAGCCCATCATCGAGCTCTCCAAGGGCTTGGTCTCTGATCTTGCGACGCTGAAAGGACTGGTGCCCTGGAGAGCCAATCCAAAATACTCTAAAAGGCATGCACTCGGCCAACTGTCGGGGCATTCCTGGCGAAGCCAAGCTTGGAAGTGTCCTGCACGACTGGTGCCACGGTGGCAAGCAAATCACTTGATCCAGTATTTCACATGTGTGATCTCCGTGCAATTGTCAAACAGCACCGGCATCATGGCAAAGTCAGTGAAGTTAAGAACAGGTCCATGCCTTTGATCTTCCCAAGGATAGGCTGAGAGACGTCAACCGCAAGGCATATGGCTTCTGGAGCACCTGAGCTCAGAGTCTTTTTGTCCAGCTCTGCAATCTAATCAAAAGCGGAGATCGGTGCCTCCAGAGTCTGACGCATGAATGCCCGTCAGATCGATGAGAGAGACCTGGGGCTTGAAGCCATTTGCGCAGATTGTGCGTGAACCTGTGTCCAGTTGTCCAGCACACCATCCCCATGATTCAAAGAACGGCCCTGTGTTGTGAAGCCAGGTTCTTCTTGGCGTGCGACAAAGAGGCCGAAAAGATGCCAGGGTACTGTACTTGGCCATGGCTGCAACAAAGAGTTCCTCAGTTTTGGTGACCCCCGAAAAGAGCAAGGCCGTAGTGGCACAGCGCCAACGGCTGTCATTGCAAAGGGGCCAGTTTGGTGATGCATCAGAAAGGCACTTGGATCGGTACCTGGACGTGGTCCCTCCTTCGCGTAGTTGACTGTTCGTTTGTGAAGGGTCCAAAGGGACCGCGCAAAATCCGCGGCGTTGTGGGGCTGGTCAAGATTGTCATAGACTTTCAAGTGCTGGAGAGTGCGGATGTCCATATCGCCCACATTGTCCACCCGCTCACGCGACTCCTGCAGCGCATCCTGAAGGGTACCCAAACGAACAGGCCCAAGCTTGGCGTCCTGTTCGGGATTGGGGCGTTTCAACTGTTTCTGTTGCTCTTCGGTCGAGCCCACACCTCTGGCGGATGAACACAAAGGCTTGCAAACACCCTGGGAACTGAGCATGCAAGACATCTTGGTTCACAAGCGGCATATACTCTGTGGGAGGGCGGTGCAATGCCCAGATCTTTGAGCTTTGCCTTGACATCCTCAAGTGTGGTGTCCCACGCCACACTTGGGGGCAGCTGGTTTTGAGTTCTCGTGGCTTGAGCCGCGGATGTATGTAACGTATGTACGTACGTACGTACTTACGTATGTACGTATGTAGGTATGTAGGTATGTAGGTATGTAGGTATGTATGTATGTAGGTAGGTAGGTAGGTAGGTAGGTATGTATGTATGTATGTATGTATTTTTTCTTCTTCTAGAGGGGCAGAGTGCTCAGGCCGTCGTGGCCAGTGTCGGTGGCATTTGCCTCAGTGGCCGCTTCTCAGAAGGTGCCTGTCACGTGGTTGGCCATTAGAAGTAGTCCACTTCCATGCATGGGTCATCTTGTGTGGGTTCTTCCTCTCCTTGCTCCTGTGGGCTGTCTGCCAAGTTGGAGCTAGCAGGCGCTGAGGAGAACCGGAGCTTTTTGGGCACTGGTGGTGACATAGTCCCTGGTGCATCCAAGGTGGTCACTGCCGGCTCTGGAGGTGGCTGGGTCTCATGGCCTGTTTGGGTGACTTTTGTTGCCTGGGTGCCTGTCTGGCTGTGCTGGCTTTGGGTGCTGAACAACTGCACGAGGGTGGGTGATTTCTGACTCTGACCTTGGCAGGGTCGCTTGAGGGCCTTGGTCAAGATCACCCTGTCCTCCGCGTCAAGGTGACTCTGGGTGCCACAATTGGTGCACCTGATGCCCTTTCCCTTTTGCCAAAGGGCATGGGTGTGGTGGGCTTCATGTGCTTTGCCATAGCTTTCATCGATGCAGCGGCGGTTGATGAACTCCTGGAAATTGGTTTCATTCGTCCGTTTGTGGATGGACAAGCTGCATTTCATGCACTTGAGGTACCCAGTCGTCTCTTGGAATGTGTGCTCGTCAGGAGCTTGTGGGTGTTGTTGCTGGACTTCAAGGAGCTGCTTGATGGTGCTGGCCCTTGTGAGCTTTTGCCCAACCGGTTTGTTCGGGCGGAGATCAGGCTCTGGTGCTTCGTGGACCAGGAGTTCACAGTCCTGCTGGAGATGCTGTTCAATGACTTCCACCGTAAGTCCTTGATGGACTCGGGTAACGCGGATCGTAGGAGGACGGGGTGGCATCCAGCGTCACCGAAAGACCTTGCCATGGTTGGAGTGGCAGGGGCTCGAGGGAACTCCAGCATCCATGGCCCTGGAGCGGTTGAGCCTGTTGGCGGTGATCCTGGGGTTCTCGTGGGATTTAGTAGTATGCCCACATTGGTCCCTCCAGTGGATCTTGGAGCCGCTCTGTCCATTCGACTTCCAGCGGTGCATGGCCTTGATTGTGGTGCCAGGTGCATAGCCATACGATGTGCTTGGGTGTTGCCGGTACTCCAGATAAAGGGCATGTTTTGATCTGGTCCCCTTGGCGGTAGTGGAGGGCTGCTTGGTTCCATGTCTTCATATGCTGGACCTGTTGCTTTGGGAGGGTTCTCGCCGCTTTGGTGGCGATGGTCCAGTCCAGCCCACTGACCAGATTCTGACAGTTCCGTTTACTGGCCAACCGGCTGGTCCGCTGTTGCTGTGCCTCATGGTGGAGGGCTCGTTCAATGGTCGCCCAGTCGTCCTGCAGATTGATGTGGGCTTCTGTCATGAAGGCCGTTTCATGCCGGTGCCATTGGTAGATGGAATCCGTCGTCCAACCCCATTCCTTGAGGTATGCCAGGGTGGCAGCCATTGGTCCCTTGACGTGGTACCAGGGGTGCTGCTGCTTGTGGATCTGGTTACGGATGCCCAGCCATGCCTGTTCGACGTGCTGGATGTGGTCTGGGGGCCAGTGGTGGATCAGGGTGTGCAGAGCCCTGATGTGGTGGATGATGACCTGGTCTCCTGGGTCAGCGAACTTTTTGTTGGTCATAGATGACGTCTGTCAGCCCACCTTGATGTAGGCCAAGGTGTGTGGCCAGCCCTTGGCGAAGTGCCATTCTGTACCTTGCGGCTAGTCCTTGGCCTTCAAAGCCCCAGAAGGCGACTGGTTGTACTCCGCCTCGGTGGAGTCTTAGTCTGGTGCGGATGTTGGGCAGCTTGAGGCTGCGTAGTTTGATCCGCCTTTGCTTGTTCTTCTTGAACCTCTGTTGGAGGGTGGCTATGCGTCTTCTCCTTCCGGCGGAATGATCAATCCCAAGATCTCTCATCACGGACTGGATGGGTGGGTCGTCTGGTCCGAGAAGCTTTTCCAGTTCTTTGTGGATGACCCTGTCCGTGACAATGAAGGCTGTCTTGTGACTGTTCACTATCAGGCCTGCTGTGGTGAGGTCGGCCCTGAGGTGCTGCCATGCCTGGATGGTGCGTTGCGCCAAATGGACTGGATCTGTGTGGTTGCCATCAAAGCCAATGTCGTCAACCCATCCATTGAGGTGGAGGTCAGGGAACGCCTGCTGGAAGCTGGTGAGGATGGGCTGCAAAAAGGTCTTGGCGAGGAGTGGAGCTTGGGGGCATCCAGCTGCTACGCCCGTTGTGGCATGGAACCAGGGGCTGAGCTCACCCTCGGCCAAAATGGCCTTGTGTCCAGTGTACACCTGCATGGCGAACTCTAGTCCCAGCGGGGGGTAGTCCAAGTCTTGGGCTGTTTGTTGCAGTCGTTGAAGGTCTAAAGTGTCGTAGAAAGTGCTCATGTCCAGCAGGACAGTGACTCCAGGCTGTTGCTCCGGGTCTGGCTCTGTCATAGTTCATGGCCGGCGGGAGGTTGTTTCGCCATGCATCCATGAGTGGCTTCCTCCTCTTGCACCAGACGCGATAGAGCACGCTGGTCAGAGTTATGGGTCGCTCCACCTTCTCATTTTTGGCCAACATTACCACCAAGCTCAAAGTGAGTTGGGTGGGCAGTTCAGCTTTGGCTTCCATGGCTTGGAGGATACCCAAAAGGGGCTGTAGGGCCTGCTTGGGCGCCGTGCGGAGCAGCTGTGTGGTGATTGCATCTGGTCCACATGCTTGTATGTATGTATGTATGTATGTATGTATATATGTATGTATGTATGTATGTATGTATGTATGTTTTTTTTCTTTTCTTCTTAAGTTTGTGCTCCTTGGCCGTTTTGGCCCATGTGCTAGGGCTGGTGCCTCAGGGATGCCGTCCCTCAGAAGTACTCGACAGTGAAAGGTTGGTTGTCAGGGTCACTGCCGGGAGTGAGGTGGCTGTCCAACTCATCGGCAGTAGCCTGTGCTTGAGGTGGTGCATCATTTCCTCGGCTCGAGCTGGTTGATGCCCGTGCTGCCTCGTGGCTGGGGTTCATGGCCATTGCAGCTTGGGCGTGTTCAGGGTCTTGTTCCTGGAGGTCCAGATCCGTTTGGAAATGCAGTCTCCTTGGAGTAGGCCTTGGGTGTTCAGGGTGGCAAGTCTGAGGTGGCCACCTTGGTTCTAGTTTGGGTTTCTTGACTCGTTCTGGCAGGGCCTGTGACTCGTGTGGTGCCTGTTGGCTGGTGTCTCCAGATGAGTCCGGGGAGCCACTCTGGGATGCTTGTTCCAACTGCTTCCTGAAGATCTCGGTCAACGGTGTAGAGCTTTGGCTGCCTGAGCCTTTGCAAGGCTTTTTGACAGCAGCTGTGAGGATGAGCCTGTGCTGGCCATCAAGGTGCAAGGTGATGCCACACTGTGTACATGTTGCTTTGTTTCCTTTTTGCCACAAAGCATGACTGGAGTGGCCTGCATGGTCCTGGTTGTATGGCTGGTCAAGGCGTTGCCCTTTCTTCAAGCTCATGCTGCTGTGGTGGGGGCTTCGCCTCTTGTTGTTGATGCAAGAGGTGTTTGATGACCTGAGTTCTGGTCATTTTCTTGGGCATGGGCTGGTGCGGTTGCTCTGGTGCCGGGAGTTGATCCTCAATCCTGAGTTGGGGACAGTCTTCATTGAGGCGTTCCTCAATGACCTGCACCGTCAGTGCTTGATGAACTCGAATGCCACAGGCACCGCATTGATGTCCACTTCTGTGTGGTGCCCAGCGGTGAGATGGAGCTGTCCAGGGTTTGCTGCACATTGCAATGAGCTGCTTCTTGTATTGTTTTGTTTGCTTGCCCTGGTGCCTGGGTGCTCCTTGTCACTGTAGATCTTGGCCAGGCGGTTGATGGCGTGGGTGTAGATGAGCTTGTGGTCTTCATCTAACAGTACACCTTCTGCCAGTCCGTGCGCCTGTGGTCCTGGTATTGTTTGGCCCTCTCCCAAGCAGCGAGAGCTGCGTCTCTTTGTCTTCTTCTGAGCTGTGGCTCACTGCCTGGTATGTACGTATGTACGTATGTAAGTATGTAGGTATGTAGGTATGTAGGTATATAGGTATGTAGGTATGTATGTATGTAGGTATGTATGTATGTATGTATGTATGTGTGTATGTATGTATGGTCATGTCATGTCATGTGATGTCATGTCAATTCATATAATGTAATGTAATGTCATGGCGTGTCTTGCGTGTATGTAATGGATGGGTGCATGGATGCATGCATGTATGTATGCATGCATTTATGGTCGTTCACTTTGAGGTTCAAGTTGAAAAGAGTTTTTTCGGCGACTGCCCGCGTGCTTGGTGCATTTTGGCAGGAATGCTTAAAAAGCTTCTCCACATGGGTCGCTAAACAACTGAGGAGCAAATCTGGGATTGGCAGTCAAAACTCCCAGCCAAAGCGCAAAAGCTCATCGTGGCTGTCCAAATCATTCGTTGATATGACAAATCAATTCTTAATGCTTCTTAGCCAAGCCTGGCCCATATGTTCACAGAATCAGCTGTATGTATTGTATGCCTATATATATATATATATGATATTTTGCGGGTCAAATCTGATGTGTTTGGACGGAGTGCAACACTCAGAGGACTCATCGAGATGCAACTTCGCAAGTCGGGGCAACGCTTCAGAAACTGCAGAAAAGCGTGGGGCTTACATGTCGTGTTCGAGAAAAGGCTTTCAAATTCATCGCGGACGGACTCAGTTTGATTTGGCCTCAATCAACTTTGTCCAAGAGTTAAAACAAGGCCTCTTCGATGAAGAGATGGGAAAGGTCGACTTTGCATCGGCCATAGTGCCGACCTGAGCCATCAACCATGATTTTGACACGCTCCGCCGAACGCGTTCCATGGATCTGGAAAAGGATCCGTGGTTCGAAGAACAAACATCATTTTCCCAACTGCCACGTGGTCCCACTTGGGACGTGAGTCCGAGTGCTACGAGGCCTTGCTCAATGAGCTGCCACAGCGCCTTGAAGCTGTGGAGGAGAACACCCGGACCTTGGTGGCCCGTGTGAACAAGCTCAATAGCGATCCACTGAAAAGAGCTGGCTGCCTAGACAAACCAACACTCTTCCTCAAAAGCCTCGCAAATCGGGTGAGAGCTTGCACTTTGTTTTCATCCTTCTCTTTCAGGTTTCAACAAGAGGATCTATAGCACCGGTCAGCGGGCCGCGAGAATTTGAAATCCACGACAAGCCTGGCGATCAGGCAGGCCAGACAAGCTGGGTTCATTTTTGGCTTCGCAGCCCAAAAGCGTGTAGGCTGTGAAAGAGTGTAGGGAAGCGGTGAACCTCATGTTGGAAATGCAAAGGCAACTCGGCTTGGTGACTCTGAAAACATCATTTTACAGCTCACAGCTAAGGAACTTCAAAGAGCAGCAAGAAGAAGCATTTGTCAAAAGGCGCGCATCATGTGACAAGAGCAGCAGGTCAGCTTGTCAATCCTCTTAAGAAGACTCATTGAAAAGGCTTGGCGATTCAGGCTCAACCGGTTCAGTCAGTGATTATGATTGTATGTGATTACAGTAATGACGATATTTTATTTCAAGTTGGCCCACAAAAGCCCATATTCCATTGAGTCAGTGATCAATGACACTATCTTTTGATTTCGCCAATTGGCCACAACCAACGCAAGCCCAGATTCCTTTCTTCATGTCATGCGCCATGCGCTCGTGCACAGGCTGGCCAGCTTTGATGTGGCTTTCCAAGAAGCTGGCCTTGCCAATGCGGAAGAGATTGCCTACCGCTTCCATGCGCAAGTGCGAGAATTGGAGGGGATCTATGCTCGAGCTGCTGGTCTTGAAGAGGGTGGGAGCCTGAGATGTTGGTTGAAGGATCAGACATGAGAGAGAACTTACAAACTTATCCTTTGCACTGCCGTTTAGAAGGATTCTCCATTCACTGAAACTGATAATTCTTCACAGGGATAACCCTTCATATGTCTTTCTCTGTGCATAGAAATCAATGACGATACTGTAACAAAGATGATAGTGGAGCAAGCCCCAAATAACTTGCCGTAGTCAATGTCCCACACATGTGATAGCCGTGCACAATCAGATTTCCAACCTTGCCTTGAACGCTGTGCTCGTAGAATTGCTAGGCTACTAGCTGTGCTAGTCCGGAATGGCATGAATGAACTTTGCCATGGGGCTACGGAATGAACTGTACGCATGTTGTTGTGTGTTGCCAGTTTAGGCAATGCATGCAATGGCACGCAGTGCATGTGAATGCACACTCACATGTTGCAGCTAGTCAAAGCACTGTAAGGTCTGCAGAATGTGGAGGAACACTTGGCTAAATCTCTCCAAGGAATTGATGATTGGAAGGCCAGGAAGCTACAGTATGTAAGCAGCTGACGTATTCCGCCCAAACCGAACAAACTGAACCAGAGCGGACATTCAGGCTGCTTTCTCCGTGCGCCTTGATGATCTTGAAGGACGAATTGACCAGGCCAAAATGGACCATTGAAGAAGTGTCGCACATGACCATGAGATCCATGAGAGGCAGAGGATCAATTCAAGACTCAAACTGGCGACATGGAGGTCCGGCAATCGCAAGAGGGAGTGCATTTCAAGAGTTGAGCTATGGCCTTCCAAGGCTCTCGCGCAACAGCTGAACAAGCTGGCAGAGGAGAACCAAGGCTCAAATGGCCTCAGCTGTGTCTTGCAACGCTTTGAGCAAGACACTCTATTGGGCATACCCGTTTCTTTTGGCTCCAGGTCTTAGTAAGCTCACAGACAAGCACAACAAAGACGATCATGTCATGAAAATTAATTGGAAGCATCCTCTCAAGGCAGTTTGCACCGGTCAGCCGAAGTTGCACTAGATTTCCTTCAACATATCCATCATCCAGCATATCGCATCATTTGGATGCCATGCCGAAGAATCTTGGCCTTGATATGCCTTGATGCTTTGCAGTTCAAACCTTGCAGATCCTTGCAGTGTTTTGGACAGTTGACGACAAGTGAACATTGGAGCCGCTCAGGAAACTCAATCGCATTGCAGCCCAGAAGAAGCCGCATGGGAAACCAGACACACAGTGCATAGCACATTGCTTGAGTGGGCCTTTTTGCTGCAAGCGGATAGGATGCAGCTGTGTCACATGCAGTGTTTTTTGCAAGAATGGGCTCTTTGCCATACACGAGAATTTGCACTAATTATACGTTATGCTAGATTTGCTTGAAAGGTAGAGGTTGTTCAACGCACTTTGCGAATGCCCCAATACCAAGTTGAAACGCCACAAGTGTAAGCAGAAGCATGCACCTTTACCGCCAAGGTGGGAAGAAATCCCAAACGATTCTAGGGAGCTCGCGCTGCTACAAGTCCTCCATCCTTCGAGCTACCTCTAGCTACTACCTTAAGTTTCCCTAAAAATCTGGGAACCAAATCATTAGCGCGAGCTATCCTGCGTCCAGTAGATAGTAGCCACTTAAGCTACTAGCGACTCCCTAGCTACTACCACTTCAGCGGCCTACTCCCCCCCCCCGAAAAAAAGAAACGAGAATTGGTCTCTTTTCGGTGGGTCTGGTGAGTTTCTGAGGTCCGATCGGATCCGGTGGTTTCGGCTGTTGCATCGGACCAGGATCAAGGGTCAGACAGGTAGCTGTTCGTTCGTGTTTCCTTGATGTTGGCAAAGCTTGAGGTTGCGTTGCACAAGGCAGATTGAGAAACTTGTTCGCAATCTAATCTTTTGCGCCTCCTTTTCATTCAGTGTGCTCTGAACTTGAATTCTCTTGCGCATGGACAGATCTGTGTTTCAGAGTGAAGTTTGGAGGAGAACCTTTTGCTTGATTCTTTGCGCCAATGAGTGTAGCTCAACACATTCAGGGAACCAAGGGTTTTGTTTTTTGCTTTTTCTCCACCGTCAGCCTTGAGCAATACCCAAGTCTCTTGTCATGAATTGAGCAGAATACGATTGAACTCTGAGAATCTTGCTGAGGATGCCATTCTCTGCCAAGCATAAAACATCTCCAGTTCCATACTGCGAGAAGCATTTGCGATGGGGGGACGGTGCTTTCAAGGTGCACAAACATCCGAAAGGATACGGCAAAATCCTGGTTGCCAGATACAATCTTCCGAAAGGATACCGCATGGTGTACCACGGTGTCCGGAAGACCACTGGTCAGGACGCTGATTTGGATCCTGACGAGGACCGCACTTTGTGGTTTTATCCAGGCAACGACTCCGAGCGGGTGAATGGGTATATCGACCCATCCCCATGCCCAGGCTCAGTGCTGCAATTCGCGGCCAATGGAGGCCCCGGCGAAGTGGCCAACATTCGTCAAAGCAATCGTGGCTTTGGGCGCCGTAATGGAGACTATGCAGGGATGGAGTACGTGTCTACCATGCCCATCCCTGCTGGTTGGCAGCTGGTCCACAACTATGGATCTGAATGGTGGAAAGATAGACCAGAGATCGTCCGTTCCAATGTGGGCACAGAGCCTTGGACGAAAGGGCTTTAGCTGTTGAAGGCAAGAGAGTGAAAGGGCTCTGCAAGGCAGGTGTCTTCACTGCTTCATTGTCTTCGCTGCCTTCACTACTCACCCCCAACTGTCTTCACTGCTCGCAAGTATGAAGGTGCCCGAAATGAACAGTATGTTTGAACGTTCCATGGAATGTGGATTTTGACAAGTGTCTAAGGAGCGATTTCCCGCACCACAAAGAAAAGCTAGGAAAGTGAGCTGCAAGTGAGAAGAGACACGCAGGACATTCATTTGGCGATTGGACTTTTACTAGTTTTGACATACTTTGGAGCTTCTGTTCAAGTAGATCTCTTTGAAAGTCTGCAAAGAAGCTCCTGAGTTATTCTTGACCCCGCTTAAATTTTGCGCGGGTGAGAAAAAGCCTTGAAAGGTGTTGTCAGCAGACATTGAATCAAAGCACCCTTGTCAACAAGAGCAGCTGCAGTGTGAGAGCATTTGAGAAGCATGGACTGAATCTTCATGTTTCATGAGTGCAATCTTGGAAGGTGACAGAGTCACTTTGACCCGCTCGCGCGGCAGCCACTCAAAGGACAGAGAGATAGCTGGGAGAGCCGAGTCATGAGTTGAAATGTTCGAGTCCAGGAAGAAAAAGACAAGAAGATGAGTGATCTAGATGCTTGGCAGAAAGAGTTCTATTGCACCTTTGTACAGCAACTTGCCGCCCTTGAGACATTGAGGTGATCGAAAGCATCCAAGAGGACTTCTACCTTCACTTCTACTTCACTCATGATTAATTTGATGAGAAATCTGCTAGGTCAGTGATGTCGCTCATCAGGACATGGCAAAATCTCAGAATGCTGCCCAGAAAGCCATCTCAATGGCAGAGGAACGTTTTGAGCCAGAATAATGATCAATCGATCAATTTATACATATCCTTCTCAGGAATTGGAAAAAGTGGTTGGAAAGATGCAGCAGGAGCCATGGCGCCAATTAGTGATTAGCCACCATGGCGGCAATTGGCCCTTTTTCATGTTGGCGGTACTTCTGCAGAAGAAGCTGTGTATGAGGAAATGTACACACAGTCATCATCTCCCAACGCATGGTTGGAGGCTTATTTGCTTTCAGTTGGCGACAAAAAAACTGAGTAGGCCTTGTACTTGAGAATTTATATTTTGGGCGAATGCCAACATGTTGCTGGAGCTGGGCTTGCTAGCCTGGTTGAGGCCTCTCCGAAATGCGATTTGCCCAGAGCGATAGGCATGGCTCGGAGCAACATGCCCAACATGCCCAGTCGATGAGGCGCGTCCAGGCCGTTTGCCGAATTTACCTCCGTCCTCGCTGGCACAGGAGGACGGTGCCGGAGCACTAGGCTATACCGATATACCTGACACACCTTTTTTCGTTGACATTGCACTGGAGGAGGAGAAAGATGCACCAAGGCGAGCCAAGATCCTGTTTCACGATCAGTTGAATGTACCAAGGTAGTTGAGTGTATCTTGTGCAGACAAGCAAAACGTATCTTGCGACTTTGACAGGTATCTAATCACAGATGACCAAGCATGGGAGGACTGAATGTAGTGATTGTTTAGCCTGGTGCATGCAATGAAGTGTGCTACTTGCAGTATTTGGAGCTCCCCAAGCACAAGGCTGGAGATGCGGTTGTTCGGTGTTCGCTCTCTTCTCAGTTCGCTTTGCCGCTCTAGGCGAAAGAGGCGAAAGAGCGGTTCCTCCCTCCAAGCGGTGGCTGCTTCCGTCATCGTGCGCGTTCCAGTCCTTAGCTCAGCAGCCACGCGGAGCTTGGGCTCCCGAGCCTCAGCTGAGCCTGAAAGACTCCAAGGAAACAAGCGGCCATCAACAGCTCAGAGCTGGCAAGTGCAAGTCAGAGGAGGCCACCCTTTGCGGCTTACACTTCAAAGCATTTGGTGGCTATCTTCTAAGCACTTGGAGAGTCTAAACGAAGTTCTCTGATGTTCTCTGTAACTGGTCTGAATTCACCGGTAGAATTGGATTCGGGACACGGACTTCACAAGCTTGCCTCCTCGTCTCTGTTCTATGGTGCTTTTGTCTTGGCACTTGAGAGAGAATTGTGTAGAGTTTGTCGTGAATGTATATTTTCCCTACTGTAATTGCTGAGTTCCTGCTTTCCATTGTCACTATGTCTTCCTCCATTAGTGTCCCGCCCCTTTTCTGATGTGCAAGTAGAAGGAGGTGTAATTAAGTAAGTGAGTGGGCTTGTCATTTTGATCGACTTTTTGATAAACTTTCGCATTGGATCCTTGTCCTGCACGCTACACCTGCAGAAGCCGCCCGGAGCCGACCTGCCACCGCACATGCTGCGAATGCGCACTGACTTTTCGATGAACCGGCGACGTCGTTGTCGCACCATTCTGCAAAGCTCGGAATGTTCAAAAGGGTGCGATTGACAACCTGTGGCGGCTGACCCTTCTGGAGCACAGGAACACAAGGGGTATTTTTCTGATTGAAGTCCTGTGATTCTCGGCTCTTAGACAGATGCTTTCTGAAAGCAGCACTTGTCTTCATGTGTTGCAGTAGTGGTGGCTGGGTACCATACTTGTCACTATCCGACAAACACTCTAGCTTCAACTTTGACAACACTGCCAAAGATATGATCGTTTAGAGTTTAGAGACCGAATGGCATTGCACCAGCATGACCTCGTTGTACCCGCCACTGCCGCTGGGAGCCTAGTCAGATACGACGTGTTTGAAGTGTACGAGCTGCAAACCGATAACAGCAGCTAACAGCCTAATGGGCCTAACGATACCTTTATTTGTGAAAGATTCTCAGGGCACCTGCGGCACCGGTACTCCCTGGTCCACAAGCTGCTGGCACGCAGAGGGCACAAAGCCAAGCTGAAGGCTGTGGCCACCAAGCGGTTTAGGGCAAACAAAATGATTTTCGATTGAACACTTGAGCCTTGAGAAACCCAGCACCTCTGGTTTTCCTGGTTGTGCAGACCAAAACCGGCAGCGTTTGCTGCTGTCCTGCCACCTCCAAGATCTTCTGAGTGCTGGGACAAGTGAGAGGGAATCTCAGTGCCTGTTAAGTGAATAAGTTTCTAGTTTTGAACCTTCAGAGCAGTTTAAAGGTCATTCACCCTGAACTCAAGGCCCGTTCGACGTCCGCTGGTCACTGAAAAGACGCATGCTCGGTCCCTAGACGCCACAGGCGACTCGGTGACGTCAGTCTCACGGGCCGGCTTTAAGGGCGGCCTGGCCGGGCTGGGGGCCATGCCACTCATGTTCGTTGCTGCCAGGAGCCCCTAGTAGCGTCCTTGCTGGCCATGCCGTTTTGTGTGCGTTTTTACAGCGTTTCGGACCTTGGGTGCCATTGTTGGATATTGTTGGCTTCTGCGTGCGCACGGAGACGATTCTCTGGCTTCGAGTCTCAAAGAATTATGGATGCATCTGCTATAGAGGGTTTGTATTTTCTGTCTTTCTGAAAGGATACTTTATGCGGTTGCTTTGTTATTGAAAAGTGAGGTTTTTTGATCTGGAGTGGTTTGGCATGCAGCTAAAGAAGGTAAGTTAGCTAGCACCCAGCTCTTGGTTGCCACCGGCAACTGTCCATGAAATCACGAAAGGTAGCGGTTACGCTACCTGAGTTTTCCTTTTGCTTTAGCAAAAATATATTAACCCAGAGCTGCAGCCTATCTCTCGGAGAAATGGTCCCCGACATCTTCGTTTGCTGGGGGGGGGGGGGGGGGGCCCCCCCCCCCCCCCTTTCAACTCCACCCTACCGCGCCTCGGGGTCAACCGTTCGAAAACACTGTAAATATCAGTGTTTTCAGCTCTTCCAGTCCTCAGCAGTGACCAAACATCATGGAATTTACAGCGTTTTTTGCGGCTGTCCGGCAAAAAGCACCGCAAAAACCGATGGTTTTTGATGCGTCTCGGTTAGAAAAATGACCGAAAAAAGACCAAAAACCAGGAAAGATTTTGTCAGAAAGGGTTTTTGAGGCTTTTGGAGGCTTCAAAATTGCACAAAACTATGGTATTTACAGGGTTTTGTGCACCTTCCCGGCAGAAAACGCCGGTATTTACACGGTTTTCTGCGCTTTTCCAGCGCTCAACCGTGGTGCGCCTTTGGATCGACGGCTACAAAATACCGTAAATACCAGTGTTTTCAGCTCCTCCTGTCTTCAAGCGTGGCCTTAGACCTTGCCGCGGCTGTGGATCGACGGCAACGAAACCTCGTAAATACCAGTGTTTTTGAGCACGTCCTGTTTGCAAGCATGGCCTGCGGCCACGCAATTTACAGGGTCGCCGCACGTCACTATGTAAATCCGAAGTTGCATTTGAGAAATATGTGACTCCTTTTGAAGGCACGTCAACCTGTATTGAAACCGCTAGACCGCTACAGCTTCTGGAGGTTTTGTCAAGCGTTTGTGCACTAGTCTTTCTTTCATCACGCTCACTCACTTCTCTTCAAACAAGTGAGGGGCCTCTCACCTCCTCCCGGATTACGCCTGATTCCCTGCTACCTTTCGTTCACCCCCCTCCTCTCTCAAGTACACCTTATAGATATCAGATAGATGGCAACTTGTGAACATCTACGGAAGTTCTCTAGTTTCTAGTTTCGGAAACGTCATGGTGGCCCTTTCTTCTCTGGATCTATCCATCACACCCAATCTGCAGATTCCGGTGGATGAGACATGACGTCTCACGACTGTCATCAACCATCAGCATGTGACGACCTGTTGGGCCAACTGGCACAGGCCTGCCTGTGTTTTGGAGGTTCTGACCGATTGGTTGTCACTGTGGATACACGACGGAAGTGTTGCAAATGCCACACCAAGCTCTGGAAGCGTATTGAGTGCCCCAGCGAATTTAACCTGGACGTGGCTTGCTTCAGACTGTAGCTGATAAGCAAATAACTATTTGTCTTTCTAGTGTCGACCGCAAAGCCTGTGGCGTTGAGAGTGAGGATGCTAGAGAGCCCATCACGCCGGGTCTTGTACTGGACGCACGCCAAAGCTTCCTGGGCTTGTTTGTGGACTTACAATTCTAGTGCTAGCTGCTTACTGTGCCGGTGCCTGTGCTCATGTTTCAAACAATGACATTGACAGGCACTCGCTTTGCAGAGCGTTCAGTGCGCGCCTTGTTCTTAGTCTGAAGCGAGATCAGATGTACCGAACGTCAACGGCAAAGCGGCTGACCTTTATTTATATTTTCTTCACCAGCCTAATTGCAAGGACCCGGCTGAACGGAAGGCGAGCCTCAGGACTTTTCTAGCTTTTCCAAAAAACGAGAACATGAACTGAACTCCCCCAAATGATAGATTTTAACTATTTCCCCAATCACCTTTCTGCCAGGGTTGGGCAAGTTGGGTGGGGTAGTTTCAGGCCTATCCAAATCGATGTTTGGCATCGTTTCGGAGGGTTGTTTCAGATTGTTGCAAACAGCTTTGGTCACATAGAACGGGCAATGAACAGTTTTGTAGCGTTCCACGGTCCACTTAGTCAGGAGAGTTGCACCACATCTGTGGGAAGCCACTCAGTGCACAGCTCAGACTTGTCTACGAGGCTATGGTCTATGAGTCTATGACCTCAGTATGACTCTGACCCGACGGACGGAGCCTTTGAGGCGGACGGAGCCACCGCTCAAAGAGCAGCCTTTGCTTCTTTTGGGTGATTTTCACTCTGCTCCCAAGGAGAAAGAGACGAGAGAACTGGAGATTGGGGATGTTTAGTAAACGCACACACACACACATTGACGCGTACTGACTCGAATGCCGCTCGCCACAGGGCAACCTAAGGAAACCAGATTCCTGGTCCTGAGAGGAACACTGTGGATCCTGGAGGTCCTTAAACGAAAGTGAGGCCCAAAGCTCAAGACCAGAAACGACGATCACGGATCGACCAAGATGACGACGTTCCGTGCAAGTCAAATTCAAAGCCCTGTGCGTGACTGCCAAGAAGATGAGGGTAACAGCTTGTAAGCACCACAACCAAGCAGGTACGTCCAGCAGGTGTCCTTCCGGATATCAGCCACACTTGCAGCCCTCTTCGTTGGGCAATCAGCTGCAATGTGGGATTGCCACCAGCTTTTTCTAAAACAATCCGAAAGGCTCCCTGTGACTCCAAGGGGTACACACACACACACACACACCCTCCGTGAACACGTTTTCTGAGGGGAGGCAAAAACTAAGTGACGAACAAGTGTGCGCTGTGCGCGCAGCATGGACAAGAAGATGAAGACATGAGAAAGAGGACAGACGGGGCAAAAGTGTGTGTGGTTGGAATGAAGAGGGAACCAGATGCACGGGGACAAAAGATGAGCCAAACCTCATTATCAGAGCCTGGGGCGACCTGAAGCCTAAGTGTACAGTAGATGTGCGCGTACAGACTCAGGCCCGGACCGAAGTGCCCGCAAGAAAAAGAAAGGAGTGAGATGACAGGACATGAAGCAAGGAAAGAAAGTATGTGAAAAGGGGAAAAGATGAAAAACCAATGAAGGGGCCGGGAACCAATGAAGCCAGACCTCATTACAACGACCTAGGAAGACCTGCCTCGTTTGAATGTACATGCTGTGTGTGCACCTGAGGTGACGACAGGTTCCAATGAACCTAGACTTGCTTTGACCGCTCTGCTCCTTGTGCCATGCCAAAATGGCGGGCGACTTGAGACCGCTGCGGTCACCTAAAGGCATGCCCGAAGGCGGCCAGCTTAGAATTCAATCCCGCTCTGGGCACGTGCGTTTCCAAAGCAAGGGAAACAATGACAAGCCCCCGTTCAGGAGTCTGGTTTCCTTAGGTTGCCGCGTGGCGAGCGGCGTTCGAGTCAGTACGGATGTCAATAAGTGTGTCTCTCCTCAGTGAGAGCCCGGAGTGACCCCGACGAGTGGCCCCTGTGGACCCGTTGAGAGGAACACTGTGGATCCTGGAGGCCCTTAAACGAAAGTGAGGCCCAAAGCTCAAGACCAGAAACGACGATCACGGATCGACCAAGATGACGACGTTCCGTGCAAGTCAAATTCAAAGCCCTGTGCGTGACTGCCAAGAAGATGAGGGTAACAGCTTGTAAGCACCACAACCAAGGAGGTACGTCCAGAAGGCGCCCCTTCCGGATATCAGCCACACTTGCAGCCCTCTTCGTTGGGCAATCAGCTGCAATGTGGGATTGCCACCAGCTTTTTCTAAAACAATCCGAAAGGCTCCCTGTGATCCAAGGGGTACACACACATGTAAGGGTCACTTCAACAGGGTCCTCATTTGAGTCGCCCTTACCTTTTTTGTTCTTGTTTAATGGTGTATGCCACTGTGCTGCTACCTTGCTTTACAGGACGTCGGAGCACCTGGCACTTCATGCAGGGTGGTTCTCTGGGCATCAGCCTGAATGGTGGAGGAGGCCTTGCTCTCGGCTTTTCATGGTGTTCTAAGGACGAGAGCCGGCGATGCTTCGCGTCCCACTGGTCAGGATGCTCAGAGGGCAAGACATTTGTTGAATGGGCCTTTGTTGTAGCACTTCCCTCTTACTCCCGCTTTATATGATTATACATATACATATGATATTTCGATCTCCCTACCTCACTCCCTGTCTCTCTGACAAGTAATGCCTGCATAAGATATGCGGATGCCTTGTCATATGGCATTTTTTAGATTCTAGACCTCGATGTATCTGCAAACATCCTCAGCAATCAAGGCAGGTACCTTCCAAATCCTAGCTTTGTGGATAAATCACTAGGAATGAACAAGAATTGGGTAGGCGGGCTTGAGGCCTGGTGCTTTGCCTCCTGACTTTTGTAGTCACAGCTTTGATGCTTTGATGACCCATGGGCCCAAGTCTCAGCACGTCTCGAGGTTCAGGCTTGTTTTGGTCAGAGCCTTGACAGCGGCTCAGGCCGTGGGAGCCGCTGCACAGCAAGAAGGGCCAAGTCACGCGAGAGACCTGCCTTGACCCGAGACCTGCGAGTTCAATTGATGGAGACCTGCCTTGTCACTGAAAGTGTCTCGCCATACTTTCAGGCTGGTATGTTCGCAAGGGCTGCCGTTGTGACTACACATATGGAATTGCACGGGCAGAGTCCTCAGATCCTTCACAGTGAACTGCAATAAAGCCGCAGTCAGAGGTGAGAGCCAAACGAAAGCAGACACAAGCTTTCCGAGCGGTGCTTTCCTCAGCTATTGAGCCAGTCAGCTAGTCATTGATATAAATGGTTGCCGCAAGCTTTGTCTCAGGCCATGGAAATCCTTCTTGAAGAAGTCATGCGCCAGGATCTCGGATACCAGGCCCGACCAACTTTGGAACAGATGGGCTTCTGAGGCCGTGTTTGCCCTTCGCTTCCCAAAGAAGCATGGCCCAACTGCGCCAATTTGAACCTGTACACTGAAGCATGGCAATCTGTGGGTATGGAACCTCAGACTCTTGCGGGGTCTTTAGATGAACCAGCGAATGACCCCGGCCTTCAAGGTTGGCATGCAGATGACGAATCACTCTTCATGGGTTCGGAGCATAGTTATTCGTGAGGTGTTGGCTTCAGAAGGGGAGAAGTTATTTGAAGTAATGCCGCAGCCTGTGCCTTTGCATGTCGCCATGAGGAAAGGACAGGGATTGCCCAATTCTGTCAGTATCTCTTGGTGCCCGACGTGAGATCCTGCCTGAGCCAACTCCAGTATTTAATTAGAAGTATTTGTGGGTTGTAGAATGCCATTGCGGCAATCAGTGACTAGAACTATATACTTGTGGCACCGAGCGCACTGAATGACTCGACCAATTCCTTGAGGTTCTGGCTTGCATTGCGGCACCAGGGCAACTGCATGGACCCGCAATTGAAGAGCATCGTGGAGGCATGTGGTGGGCGAGAATTTGTGGATTGCAGTTTTGAGTATGATTCAATGTGGCGCATTTCTTTCTAGATCGATTTGCACAATGGCGATATCCTCAGCATGGAGGCACAACGGGCCATGCCTTCTGCTCAATTCTGCTCTTTCCAATCTAGCGTCCTTGCTCCTAGTAGTAAGGCCAGGAGAGTAGCGATGCCAGGAGCCCCTAGTAGCGCTCTCCTTCCTCGCAGGGCCTTTGCCAGAAGCATTGTGTTCACTTTGTGCCCTGCGATGTGCGCAACATCGAGTCAACGAGCCACGATTCGGTCCGCTGGAATCTCAACGTTGAAAGATTCGCTCCGCTGCACGTCGTGTTTTGTGATGAATCACTCTTCAGGCGCTCGAATCAATGTCACCTGGCGATGGAGCTCCGAGATGTTGGTTGTCCATGTTGTCTTTCTGTGTTTGTATTTCTACGATTACACCGGCAGTGCTAGAGCACAGTTCTCCTTAAACCTCCAGAAACATTTCACAATGTGTTGATCAAACGTGCCGGACGTACCTCCAGGATTCGTGAGCACAAGCAGAGGTGCAGGAGACTTGGTCTCGCAAGCTGTGGGATTGTCTTTTCGACAAGAAGCTCAGGTCCTCAGCATGTTGAAGGGACAGAGCAATTCTTCTTCGAATCTAGCGGCCACGAACCAATTGGACAGTTGGTGTCTCCGAAGCTGATTCAGAGACTTTCAAGGTCCACCTCGGGATGAGCAGTTCTTTGTTCATGCCTGGGTCAATCTCTCAGCTAGGATTCCGCATTCTTCGGGCTGAACTTTGCATTGCTGTGAGGCTGGCCAGTGTGCCATGGCATGGAAGCTTTGCGATGGATGCGCCCGACAGCCTGGTTTGGTCGCTGTTGGCTCTGTATGCGCTGCGTGGGCGATTTGTCTTTCAGATTCAAGGATCATGATGCGTGGCGTGGTGGGCGCAACTGTGTGAAGCATCAGCAGCCACCTTATATGAGAGCATCTCTGTCCAATGAAAACTTGTCGAGAAGGGCTGGATCGCCAAGGAATCAGTGGCTTTGCCGCCTTTGCTATGAACATGCTTTAAGTGGTGTCGGAAGCCCAGGAAGCCCAAACTGGCGAAGCCCAAGGCTTTGGCGGAAGCCCAAACTGCGCAGTATCACACCTGCGAGGCTCCGCCTCACCAGAAGGTCCCTCGCGACCGTCGGAGGCCAAGGCCAGAAAGACGACATGAGACCAATTCTCTCGTTTGCACTTGTTACTAGTAGCTTCTTGTTACTAGTAGCGATGGCCTCCAACCTAATAGCGATGGCCTCCAACCTAGTAGCTTCGTGTTACTAGTAGCAATGGCCCCCAACCCAATAGTGATGGCCTCCAACCTAGTAGCTTCGTGTTACTAATAGCGATGGCTTCCAACCTAATAGCGATGGCCTCCAACCTAGTAGCTTCTTGTTACTAGTATCGATGGCCTCCAACCTAATAGCCATGGCCTCCAACCTAGTAGCTTCTTGTTACTAGTAGCGATGGCCTCCAACCTAATAGCGATGGCCTCCAACCTAGTAGCTTCTTGTTACTAGTAGCGATGGCCTCCAACCTAATAGCGATGGCCTTCAACCGAATAGCGATGGCCTCCAACCTAATAGCGATGGCCTCCAACCTGATAGCGATGGCCTCGAACTTAGTAGCTCGTTGCTACTAGTAGCGATGCCCTTGTTACTAGTAAGGGATGCACTTGTTAGTAGTAGCGATTCTGTTCTTCTGGTTGAGTGTTTTCTAGGTTTGCCACTAGATTCGGGAATCTGCTGCATATGTAGAAGGAGACCTGGCCTAGCTGTCATTGAAGCCCGGGCAGCTGCCGAAGAGGCTTTGATAAAGGGATGAGTGGTGGACAGCACACCTTTGTCATTTAACGGAGGTGAATTGAAACAAAGCTGTGAGGCTGACAACATGCACGACAAGTTTCAGTTTCTGCCCCAGGAGTTCAACAACACCGGCGCCAGCAGGTACGGGTATCTCAGCTGTCCATGCTTCGATTCATGTAGAGTTAGAGACCCTAGATCCTGAGGCCGGATGCTCTTCAACAACTGAATCCACTTTCAGCCGCCTTCTTCGTGCCAAGTTACCCCCAGGCAAAGATGCAAAGGGTTTTCCTTTGATGAACGGCAAGTTGCCATGGTACCTGGGGCTCAAAAAACGGTCCCAGTTTCTCAATACCTTTGGACCTACTGCAGAAAGATGGAGAAAGAAAGATTTGTCGCACCGATCTATCGCTTCCCTTGCGTTTTCCAGTATTCTGGTGAGGCAAAGGGGTGAACAAATGGATGTCACACCTCGCAGGTGGTGGTGACCCCAATGCAGATTCAGCAGATGCAGGCCTTGCGCCTCCAGCAGTGGTGTGATCATCATGTGGATATATGCATATATATATTGTAAGGGCTTCGCCCGGGTGCCGCCGACCCCTTTTCAAGAGGAGTGGAGGCTGCGTGGCATGCGCTAAAGCCCACAAAGGTGGAGATGCCAATGCCAAGGTTGTGCCCTGCGACCCCAGGATATACACCAACAACAGCAATCACAGCAGCAGCACTAAGAAGAAGACCCAGAAGCATCACAAGATCAGAAAAACCACTAGCAACAGGCAGCAAGAAGCATAGTAGCAATGCCCCTGTTCTGGCTGTGCTAATAGACTGGCGGCTGTTTGCGGGGGCCTTGTTGGACAGCCCAGGTGCTGAGCCAGCAAGGCTTGTGCTGCGGCAGCCCTGGTGCTGACCGTAGCACTTCCTGTGGACGGCCGCAGGTCTATCTGCGTGGCTGGACAATGGCAAGCAGAAGAAGAAGAAGAAGCAGAAGAAGAAGAAGAAGAAGAAGAAGAAGAAGAAGAAAAAGAAGAAAACGAAGTAGCAATGCCTCTGTTCTGGCTGTGCTAATAGACTGGCAGCTGTTTGCGGGGGCCTTGTTGGACAGCCCAGGTGCTGAGCCAGCAAGGCTTGTGCTGCGGCAGCCCTGGTGCTGACCGTAGCACTTCCTGTGGACGGCCGCAGGTCTATCCTGCGGGGCCCGTGGGCGAAGAGAAGAGGCAGGCTTCGGACAGGCCACA